CTACTTTGATAGAAAAGACACTTTTTCTCATACATAGGAGAACAGGTTGCCTTCTTTACCCTCCAATCAGTAAGACCAAATAATGCAGGCATTTACCATTACATTTAATGCATAACTGAGATGCAGGATTTCTAAGGGTAAATTCACTCCCAAAAATATTGGGAAGAAGGACCTGCACAAATAACATCCAGAACTGTGCCTCTAACTTTATCAAGCAGATAAGTGATGCTCCAGCAGAATGCAGGAGATGGTGGAGACAGAGGAGCAATGCAAAGGCACTGAAGAGGGAAGTGACCTCCAGAAATAGCATTTGTCATTTGCAGGGAGCATGTCGCGCATCAAGCACTAGTCTGTTTTGTTCTCACTGGCTTTTGCAGATAGAATAACGAACTTGGTAACTGAGATAAATTGGTCAGCCACTGATAAGATGACATTGAGATTTCAATCCTCTGAAGACTCAGTATGATTTGTGACGCATTTTAGATTGTCTAGATTTCCTTTTTGAAATTCAGGCAAGTGAAAAAAATTATTCATTCTACAGTATTAGTTTTTGTCCCTGTCTAGCCAAGATTGTAGATGGGAATATCAGTATCTCCCTGCACAAACCAACAAAGAATTAAATAATCCTTGGATCATGTATGGTGGATATTCCCACCTGGCAGAAAATGGGAGGCTGTGTTACCCAGAGCTCCACATTTTCTGGAACGGATGGAATCTATAGTCTTTGGCCTGAGGAGGCACTTGATCTCCCATTGGACTTATTTGCTGATAATGCCTAGCACGCAATCCACTGTGCTGGTCCTGAGGATTGAACTCTGGGCCTGGGCTCTGTCCCTGAGCTGCTTTTGCTCAAAGCTAGAACTAGAGTGCCACTTCTGACTTTTTTCTGAGTAGTTTATTGGAAATAAGAGTCCTGTCGACTTTCCTGCCTGGGCTGGCTTTGAACTACGATCCTTAGATCTCGGCTTCCTTAGTAGCTAGGATTACTGGCATGAGCCATCAGTGCCTGGCTTGCTTTTAAATGTTTTAAATTAAAAGCTTTCTTTAATCCTTTGACCCTTAATTTTTTTTAAGCTTAGCTTAAAATTTAGCTTACATCTGTTTTCTTTTTTCCTGTAGATATTTAACATCTAACTTCTATAGGGAAGTTTATAAGTTTCATTCTCCTGAAGGATCCAACATCCACAGTGAGACCTGGGCTTCCCTCCTACCCATTCCATATATAAGGATATCTCAGAGAGCTGTGCAAAGACCCATTCTGTTTCCAGATATCAATGAGAATAACCTTTCAGGTTGTCATTGTTCTTGGCAAACTAGGCTAAGATCCCTTCATCTGAGTAATAAAGCCTAGACTCAAACTCATCTTCAAAGTTTCTGGAACTCAGTTGTGATGTCTTTTTTAAAAAAATAAGTGGGGGCAACTATTAGCAGTAGTTATGGCTCTCAGTCACACAGCTCTGACATCAGCAGGACTGCTGATAGCTCATTGTCTACACATGAAGGATCTAGTAGTCACCCTCAAACCATTCAAGCTATTCCCAACAATCTTCAACTTCTTTTGGAAGGAAATAAGATAAGGAACTCATAGCTATTATTTAGCTCTTTCTTCCAGAAAATTTTAAAGTACAGTTCTTCTGTTATTACACAACACTCCAAAATGGCTTTCCAGTAGTTCAAAAGTGAACGGGCTGGCGTGACCATGTCCACGTCTTTGAAATCAAAGTTGCTTCTTAGATTTACTCTTGCATGAAAGGATTTTAACCTGCCTTGGTAGCTGATGTCAGCCAAGAATCTCAAAACCACTTTAGATTTGGGAAGCCATGACATCCTCTAAACATACACAGATATTGCATCTTGCTAATACAGTAGCAAGACATAGATGAGGATCCAAAGTCAAGTTGGTCTTTGAACAAGTTATTATTAAATAGGACAATAAATAGATAAAGCTCCTAACTTGTTTCAATGTATGTCTTAGCTCTGTCACTTAGTACTGAGATGTCATTGAGCAATTCTATGATCCTGGGCCTCTCATCTATATAATTTTTACATGAAAAAAACCCCAGAAATTTCATCTAAGGCATTTGTAAGAGAGCCTTGATTATTAGAAAGCTCTTAACAAATGGTTATTCTGATTCAGTTTATCTTCTAGTAGAGATGTAGACTCCCCCACAGTAATGTCAAACAGTAGGAAAGTAAGTTTAAATATCTCAACCCAAACAGCTTGTGAATTCACCAACATCTGCTCACAAAAGCCCAAGGCTTTTCAAATCAATCCACATAAACTCTAATTTCTATTATAATTTAAAGATGTGTTATTTTAGCTCCTTTGTGTGGGTATGTGTTAGGATACTTTCATCTGTTGAGAGATGGCAGTTTAGTCCAGATACTGTTGCACTGCAATAAATTGCACAATAAATATCTTCTTTTCAGTGACCTTGTGAAATCAAGACATTTTTCATGACAGTGGCTCACATTTCCACAGCTCACCTTCTCCATCTAGTGGTCTGAATGAAAAGTAGGAAGCAATACCCAGAATAACCGTGGGCTGATTGACTTGCAACCTTCCCATCTCTTACACTGGCTCTCTGGGCTCAGCGACGCCTTTGGATGACATTCAAGATCATTAAGCCACCCCTGGGGCAGCATCCAGGCTGTCTGCTCATGCTGCTCCTTCCATTCACTGGTTGTTGTCTTACACTGTGTCTGTGCTACCACAGTTCACACTAATGAAGCCATAAGCAATGCTCTATCCATTCCCCGGGTAAGTTTCTTGTTGCCTATTTTGTGTCGGCTCCCCAGTAGTAAGAAACTCAAGTCCTCTGCTGCTTATCTCTGGGAGCACAAAAGGATTCAAGCCCTTGGACTGGGGATGGGAAGAGGGCAACATTTAGATTGAATAGATTCTTTATTTCACTTTTTCTTGAAGGTAATAAAGAAGAGAAAGGTTAGCAACACAAATATATCAAGACTCTACCCTTTCCAATCTTTCTCTCCTCTGTCTCTGTCTCTTTCTCTGTCATACACACACATATTTTCTTCACAGCAAAATAGCAGATTATTGGTTGTTAACTCAGATTTTCTGTACATGTGTGTACATCTGTAGGTGTGGTGGTGCCTACCTACAATCCTACAATCCTAGCTGATTGGAAGGTAGAGATTGGGTTTGAGTCAAAAACTAGTGAGTCTCCATCTCAACAAACAAGCTGAGCATAGTGGTTTGTTCCTGAAAACCCATCTATGTGAGAAGTTGTAATTGGAGGATTATGGTGCAAGGCTGGTCCTATTCAGAAAATAACTAAAGCAAAAAGAAAAGGTAGATCAAGCAATAGAGTTTGAGCACACTAAAATCAAACCACAGTAGTGTCAAAAGAAAGGAAGGAAGGAAGGATCCTGTCAAAAGAAAGGAAGGAAGGAAGGAAGGAAGGAAGGAAGGAA